GAATTAACTTCATTCCATTATATTTTAATAAAATTAATATTAATTAATTATAGATTAATTAAATAATTGATTAATATTTTATCTTTATTTTAGACTTGAGATATATAGAGGTATATATTAATAATATATAATATAAGTATTTCCCTGAGGATTAGTCGGTCTTTAGCCATCCGGATAGAGATGATAGGAGTTCATAATAATAGTGAATAGTATTATGCCGGGTACAGCACCACACTGATGATCTAATGCTCCATAATAGAATCGGACCGAGATTATTCGTGGAGTTTATAAGGGTTTAGCGCTTCAGGAGTTTCGCGTTTGGTAGAGGTTTGTATATTGTCAAGGTGTTTCTTTCAGTGGGGAGGCACACTAGTAACTATTTATTTGAGACAGAAGGACGATATAATTGATTGTGTGTCGGATTACTAAGACGATTGAGTAAGTCATACAATCAAACGCAATAAATATCATTCCTCACGGCTTGATGAGTGCTATTCTATTTATCATCTTTAAGGGGAGGGTGCTTCTGATTATTCTTCAAAGAATTGATACTAATCTTATTTCATTACTTCTTAATCAGGTGAAATGTGAGAGAACGCTAGATCGATGAGTTGAAAATCAACTTCTCAAGTACTTCGTAGCGGACCATTTCCTCACGAGTTTTTTATCATGCATTTGGAGTGACTAATGTCCTGGCTATTTTGTATGGATATGATGAACAAAGTGCTCAAAGATTATCTTTGATTAGTTTGTGATTGTCTTTATAGATGATATTTTGGTTATTCTCGCTCTCTGCGGAGCACGCACCACCGGGATGCCAGACTATCTTCAGACGAGCTGTACTCTCGGAGACTCTGAGACAACACTAGCTCTCGTCTGCACAAAATTTCGCCCAAATGTGAATCTGGCTTAAGGCATCTTCTTCTTCTGGGGCATTTTCTTAGTGAGTCGGCTGGAACGGTATCGTCTGTTGATCCCAAAAAATCCAAGCAGCTTTACTGCATCGCATACGGACCGCTATTAGCGCGTGTGGTTGAGGGAATACGCAGGGTTTCTTGGATTATGATCAGGAGATTATAATAGGGGAAGGTTTTTGTGAAAGATATTTTATTACATGATTCTCTTGCGGACCTTTTAACGGACTGACCTATCGAGAAGTGCGTAGCGGTTTTGTTTGAGTTCACTAAGTGCGAAGAATAGTTTTGGTTTGAGCATCTGAAAGATTGTTTCATACTTATGTTACAATAGTCTAGGGGGGGGAATCTGGTGCGACGAGGCGGATAAGCCCTATAAACGCTCTTGTAGCGTGGTGGGGACGGTCCTCGACCTCGACACCGACACTGCCAATGACTGCTACGCAAAGGTATGATGTTCCAAAATCCCATTCTCGACGTTTGCAGCGGACCGGCGAACCACCTATACGCGCTCTTGTAGCACGTAGAAGGGAGCCAAGTGCGAAGCATACGGCGAGGTGGGTAAGTCCTATACACGCTCTTTTAGCGTGGTGGGGAGAGCTACTGGTGTTTCGTACGGGTACTGTTGAAGGCCCCATATACGCTCTTGTAGCGTGGTGGGATGAAATTTGTACGGCCGCGGTGTCTAAGGACATCTACCATACACTCTCAAGTAGCGTGGTTGGAAGGCCCAGCTCCCCTATATTTCCCCCAAATGGGGGATATGCCAGGGTGCTGCCAAAATTTTCACTGAAATACATAAAGCCCGAACAACAAGAAGACCTCACTTGAGCAGCAATGCAGATGACCCATACTTGAACAAAATACATTAAGAACTTGAAAATCAACATGACTATGAGGACTCAGACTTGAATTTGCAAGCTTGTGGACAAAGTGCAAATGACTGATAGTAAATGCTTGAATTTAATCAAAATAAAATGAAGACTTAACTTAAATCAATATGAACATACAATTAAGTTTGCAAGAACTTCAGAAGACCCTGAACAAGCACTTGAACATGTACTTTGAATTCGAGCCGTGCAACATCAAGTGAAACTTGAACAAAACTTTGGACCACAAGGAGACTTGGATAAGAGCTTGAACTAGTGCTGTGGACATATACTGGAGTTGAATGACATCATGTGGGACTTGAAACTTTCAAGCAAATGGCTAAGTCTGCACTATAAGAAATTGAACTTTCAGGATTACTAGAACTTGAGTTTGTAAACCCTTGAACATCAGGGGATGTACAAATTTGGACATTTGCTTGATATGAACCGAATATAAGAATTTGCAATGACTTATAAACTTAGACTTGATTTGAATCAAGCTCTTAGTGCACTCAAACAAATGTGCAAAGATTTGTACCTAGCCTTACAAATCCAAACCTTGAACAATCAAAAGAAAATTATTGTTATTATACACTGAATTTATAATCTATATGACCCCCTTAACGATAGGGCTACAAACGAACCGAGCCGAGCCAAGTATGTGAGTGTTCCATCACATCATCCACAGAGTGTAGAAAAAGTAAGCAAACACACCAGCAATTTCAAACAGCATGCAATGAAAACCACGGAAAGCTCCGGCACACAACAGAAAAAATAAGTGAGTACCTTGAAAAGTTTGGAGTAAAATGCAGTCTACATACAATGTCACTTGATTGTAAGTGAGTACCTTGCTCTCCTACTAGTAAAGATGTGCGACAAATGGGATGACTCATTGGTTGATATGCAAGGAGTCTACCACAAGTGTTAAGATGCTCATACAACATATAATAAGACAGTGGCGAGTAGATGCACCTATCTTCTACAAGCAAGGGAGATTTGATATACAACGAATGCAAGTACCTACGACCCTTTGTAGGAGGTCTGTTGTATATTTGACACATGTTTGTAAGCAAACGTGAAATATTTGCAATACATCACAAATATGTATGGGCATGTTGTGACAGACTCCTACGACGGTCCCTAAAAATGCCTGCAGATTGAGATGGTAAAACTGGCATTTGATAGTGGAAGATTTGTCCCCTACAAACAAGTACAATCAAACCCACCCGAGATTGATGAAAGGGTGGATATGATGCAGAAACAATGGGTCTTCTACAAACATTTTTAGGAGGTCGTAGAAGATGCAGCGGTCCCTGCAAATGGACACTTGTGGATAACAACAGTGGATATGTCGTAGGTACAACAAACCACTGTGGGCATAAGTACAAGCATCACCTACGACAGTGGTGATTAAAGTGCTGTCAGTATACCGGGTACAAAGGCAACCCGATGTATGAAAAAGGACACCTCCTGGCAAAAGGGAAGAGATGTTTGAGCAAATTCGAACTAAACTTCTTAGTCTTCCAGAATTCTTCTTGATCCTTTACTCAGGAAGGAAAACAACTCTAGCATCCACAAATATCAGAAATAACAAGTCCACTACACCGAAGGTCTTAAAAGAAGTTCTTTCCAAATCAACAGTCATTGACTCCAAAGTTCAAAAAGATCCTCCCCGGTGAATGAAAAAAGGGGACTCAACATCAAGATGAGGAGATGCCTCATAACATCAAGGCCATACCGCCACCGGATCCGCAACACTCGTACTAGTGGACGTAAGGTGTGTATAAGCTCTTAAATGAAAATTTTGTGCATTCAAACGATAATTATCCGCACAACCAAAATATTTCAAAATACCCCTACACGTGCACCGTAGCTTGGATACACATAGGTACACTAAAGGGGTAAATACAATCATAACCCGCATGGGCTCCGACGAGCGTGTTTTTGATCATATCTAAGAATATTTCTTATTTGGACCTTGCTATAGTGAGGATAAGATACTAACTTGAGTAACAAAAATATCTTCTCCACATCTAGCCCTCATTTTTGCAGTAGGTGATTGCATCTTCTCTTTTACAGATAAAGTGATATATTTGTCAATATTTTTAATTTTGAATGAAATATAATTCTTAATGCATTTCTTTTGAAGCTTAGCGTATTATTTGATTTCTATGCAGCTGTGAACATATACATACTTAAATTGAGTCATATAAATTTTATCATTCTCTTTTGTGGTACTTGATCGCTTTTGAAGTTACTTTGTGGTTCATCATACTTTCTTCTGGTTTTGTGACACCCTGTTATTTTTAACAATTGGTAACAAAGTAAGGTTATGAAAAGTAAGATGGCTATAAAATCTGAGAATAAGAAGTTGGATGGCTCAAACAATTTTGGCCTTTGGAGAATCAAGATGTGGTGTACCTATTCAACAAGGACTTGTAAAAGCAGTTGTTGGACATAACAAGATGCCTGAAACTATGATTGAAGAAGAAAATACTAAGATAGGTATGAAAGCTCTTTCAATGATTCAACTGTTTTTCACGGATGAGATATGGATAGAGGTCTTAGAAGAAACAACTAAAAAAGGTTTCTAATTCTCGAGCACATTCATATTCATGATAGACAAATGACTGCTCAGACTTTATCAATTTATGTTTAAAGGTGTGAGCTGCTGTAATTAGATCACGCTGCTACCCATTTCAGATACATGAGAAATGCCATGAAGTTGTTGCGTACAACCTAGGGTTGCAAGCAAATCAAACGTTCGACGAGCTACTCGTTGTTCGGTTCGATTAAAGCTCGTTCGTGATCGTTTAATTAACTAAACAAACAAACTTGAACAATATTTTAAATACTCGATTCTTAAATAAACAAGCTTGAACACTAATGCGTTCGGCTCATTTATGTTCGCGAACAACATCATTTGAAGTTCGTGAACAAGCTCGACATTAAGCTCAATTCGTGTTCGATTTTGAACTTGTGAATAAGCTTGATAAAAATAATTAATATTTGATTATAGAATTAATAAATATAAATAATATAAATAGAGCTCGACATTAAGTTCGCGAACATGCTCGATGTAATCGTTTGTTAGGAAGCTTGATAAAGCTCGTTTGTTAAGTTAATGAACATCTAAAAGTAGAGCTCGTTTATAGTTCGTTCATGTTTGTTTGTTTAAAGCTCGATAAGCACTAAACGAACGAACATGAACTGAACATGAATCGAACATGAACACTCATTAATTTAAATGAACCAAAAATGAACACAAACAATAAAGCTCGAACAAACATGAACCAAGCTTGAACAACCTGATATTAAATGAGCACAAACATGAGCACTCACATACTCGGCTCGACTCGGTTCGTTTGCAGCCCTAACTACAACCTTTGAGAGCTCGCAACTGTCAAAAGATCTCATGTTTGCTTTTAGGTCACCAAAACTTTTGATTTAGCGTGCACTTGATTTTACATAAAAGCATTTTGCTGCAGTTAAGATTGAATTTTTGCTTTTTGACGTCCTCACTTTCTTTTTGTATTGTTCTTCACTCTTCTTCTGTGCTCGAAAGATGCACTTGATATTACATGCCTAAGTTCTAATCAATTTTACTTAATCCATGATGCAGATTGCCATATACGCGGAATTATATGTAAGTGGAGTTCAGATCGGACCTTGGAAATTTAATAATCTATTTCCTGATTTATTTTTTATTATGTTTCCTTTTCTTTTTCCTATGAGGTGACCTTTCAAGAGATCTTCAACTTTGCCTTGTACTGTTATTCTTCTACAGACATTGTGTGTGGAATTTATTATATTGGAAGGTGACAATCTTACAAGGATGTTTCCTGGTATTTCTTTTGATTGGGGTGGCATTCACTTGGATTCTTTGCACTTCTTTGGAGTTTTGACTGCTTTGATTGTATTACCAACTGTTTGTCTAAGAGATCTTAGGGTCATTTCATATCTTTCAGGTTTGAGATCCTGGTTTTATGAGCCTAATCTTTTTTAAAATAAGAATGAAGGATCGTTTCTGATTTTTTTGTTTTTCTACAGCTGGGGGTGTCTTTGCAACTATTCTAGTTATGTTTTCTGTTATTTCTGTTGGGGCAACAGATGGGATTGGGTATCATTAAACAAGTGAAGTTGTGAGATGGAGTGGCGTACCGTCTGCTGTAGGAATATATGGATTTTGTTACTCAGGTCATGCAGTTTTTCCAAATATTTATCAGTCTATGGCTGATCGGACAAAATTTAGGAGGGCGTTAGTAATATGGTATTCTGATTTCAAGTAATTTAGTGTACAAGTACAATCATATATTCATTATTTGATTCTGGCTGTTTCTCTCTGTCATGAAGCAGCTTTTCTTTGTGCACAGCAATATATGGTTCTTTTGCCGCCATTAGTTATCTCATGTTTGGTGAGAGCACACTTTCCCAGATAACCTTAAATTTGCCAAAGGATGCTGTGGCGTCAAAGGTGGCTTTGTGGATAACTGTGGGTAGCCTTTCTTGTTCTCTGATCTATGTTTATTGATTACTCCTTTTCTTTTCTGGAATTTTTATTGTTCGATTAACCTTTTTTATCAGGTAATAAATCCTTTCACCAAGTATCCTTTTGACTCAGCGAAGTTGTAACTTTTGTACTTGCGTGTTATATTGTTTTTCGTTCCTCCATTTCTAGTATATGTGTAAAATTGATTTCGCCAGTTAGCTTTGCGTGCAAAGACATTATTTTTAACTTAGTTTGCATAGATTTTGCCCTGAACCATGGATAGATATGCATTGTTGCTTGCTCCACTGGCAAGGAGTATTGAGGAGCTTTTTCCATCAGCAATCTCTAGTAGTGTTTGGTTCTCTCTGCTGTTGAGGACAGCACTAGTATTTTCAACCGTATGCATTGCTTTTCTTCTACCATTTTTCGGTATGTTTTTAACTTTTATGAGGCTCTTTACTTAAAATATAAATGCATTAATGCTAAAATAAAAAAACTCTTAGCACATGAACTCATTTTAATGAAACGGTGTTCTGCTTTGTTTTATCTTAATTATTTATTCTCTTGAAAATTAGAACTGGATAGATACATAAAGGATGTGCTGTGAAATAGGAATCACTAAGCGGGGGAAAAAAGAAAAGAAAAGAAGATTAGTATAAAAATACACAAGAATATTATACAGGTTTACTAAATTAATGACGAAGTTCTCTTGTGGCCGTTGTAGATTTTGCTATTGATTGTGAAGAATTATAATCTTAATTTTTGAGAAACAAATAAAAAATGAAGACACCCTTATATATATATATATATTGAAATACAACAAAAATTTTAAAACTCACTTGATAAAATAACTGTAGATATTGAATGCTTTTTGAGGGTTTGTTCCCAAACACTCAGGAGAGGGTTCCTTTCAACTCCTTTGGTAATCTTTTCACAAAATGAGACTTGACTACTTTGAGTAGCACATTTTCTTCCTAAGGAAAAAAATTAGCATGATCATGAATTTATTTCTTAGAAATTATGATAAAGAAATAACATAAAGAAGAACTTTTTTCCCAAATTTTAGCTGATCGGGGTATGACTATTGCTTGTTGATGGAGAGTTGTGGGCTTATACTTCACCAAATGCCGATAAAAAACTTGATATGAGTAACTTTTATTTTGTTTTGTTATTTTTAATTTTAAACATTTTGAATATGCTTATGATGAATGCTCTATGAGAATGAGATTATTATTTTTATTAATTTTAATCACTAATGTTAGGTTTGTTTGTCTGTTTGGAATCTGATTGAGTCAATCAATCAGGTTGTATTGTTACTTCAAACCTCAGTTCAATTTGTTGTGCTCGCTGAGGGGATGCGCAGGGTCCTCCCTGAGCGCCTCAACGCTACGAGATTGACTTTTACAGAGGTTTGAGCATCAGAGCGCTGCAAACTAGTACCATAGTGCTTAGAGTCTGATTGGACAATTTTATTTCTTGTTTTTCTTAGAAGTGGCATCCCTTGGTGTTATTCACTTGATTGTCTTTTTTTGTGTGTGAGAATGATAGGTAATACTTGAGTTCGCAAGCAATCCTAACCCAAATCGATGATCAAGCAACATAAAAACTGCTGTCCACAACAAGAAAACAACACCAACCTACTATTTACAACAGGAAAACAACACAATTCAGGGAAATCTGAGAGAAAAAAACTCAAGTAGAGCGTTGTATTCCACTAGAAGATGAAGTAAAATAGCAAAGATATAATTGTTCTTCAATTCGAGAGGAAGAACAACTCTCCCAAATCTCCAGCAACGCCAACAGCTCAAAGCAAAAAAACCCTAGATCTCGAATCTCATTCCAATTCAAGATAATCCTAATTCCCTCCTATTCCCCTAATTAACATCAAAGGAGAATTACAACTTACCTAATCAGCCTTTACATTCAAATCTTTCCCCAAAAAAATTGCATTAAGCCCATTATGGGAGCCACAGGAGTTTTGCCCCCCTCTCCCTTTTTTTTCTTCTGCCGAGCATAGACCTTGTCACACCCCAGTTTGGCTTACCCTCTAACAAATAAACTGGAGTATAACAGAGAAGGAAAGAAATCTACTTAGGCTCTCTTAACATGTCAACCTATCAACTCCAAACATCATAATGGAAGCATATAATGTACTCACTGAACATTGAACATAATTAAAACAAATACATAGCTCTACTAAATCTTTTGAAATTTACTTACATACCAAAAGGTTTATACAACTATCCTTCAGATCTCCTCTAAGATCCCTTTGTACACCAAAACATATTTACACCAAAAAGGAATGGTCACCTCTTTCTCGCCTAGCGCTCTACGGGCTCCTTTTCCTTACCTGTAGTATAACCACTGCAAATGAGCTATGGCTCAATGAAATACACAAGCAATGTATAAATAGCATTTTAATCATTTAGAAAGACATACCATTCATGACTAAATAATAACATGGTTAGAGCACCTTTCACATGGATCACAAAAAAAAAAATAATAGTACACTTTCATTTTTGCTAATTGTTCAACACCCTTTTTAACATATCATATGATGGCTATAAGCTTTTGCACCCTTTAAGCTTTCCAATTCAAGGTTGGGTCTAGATTCCTAACTTTTAGAATTAAAGCTGTTCTCTCAATTCAGGGTTGGGTCCAAATTCTCAATTTCTAGACTTGAGAGTATAGGCTTATCTCGTCAGGTCTTTCGCCTTTACTGTGCTGGCTTATCCCCCAACATATGGCTTAAATCACCTTCCTAATAGTAATCGTTTTTTTTCCCTCATGACATATGCTAGTATACATAATACTTTACGAATAATCATAGTCATGAATAAGCTGAAATAAATTGAAGAAAATTAAAATAAATGCTATCAACCATAATAGATATGAATTGCAATCTAAGAAAACAATTATTAATTTCTATAGCATTGTAAGGTATCTCACCTCCCTTGAAATTCGTTCTTCTTGGTCTTGTTTCCTCCTCATTTTATACACTACCTCAATTGAATTCTTCATTCGACCAAATTCTTTTCCTAGACTTTTCGCAATTCCCCTCCTGAATACATAAATTATTAACATTTGAATTCAGCCATCAAATTGATGATTTCAGTTATATAAATTTATCCAACATTTTAATCTGATTTTTATTATATAAAGCCATCCACAATTTATTTGAATTCCTAAATCATTTCTTTTTCTTTTTACTCTTATTTCTCTTCTTTCCTTCTAAAATTCAGCAATCTCTAACAACTAACTTCAATAATATTTATCAGATAACAAAAATGCTTGTAAAACATATGCTTGTACAAAGAGTTTTCTGATTTCTGATAACACAGATGCTTGAATTTTAAATTACTTGATCAAATCAATAATTATACATGCTCCTAAATATTTACCTTAGAAGGCATAAACTCGCAGCAACCTATTTCTCCTCTGCATTCCCTCCCAACAGCTCCGCTGAATTCCTTCTCCTGCTCACCCACAACGTCCAACTTCAAAGAACGGTGGGTAGGAAATAAATACTGAGTCTTGTATAATCCCTAACATCCACTACTCTATTATTACTTAAACAAATAAAACAAAAAAAAAAACTATCTCAGCCGTACAAACCATACATTATAATATAGATATTCTTAATTCCACTAAGCTCTTGCATTCCACTAACCGTTGGATGGACTAAGGAAAAGATCAGCCAATGCATGCTAACATAAGTGGAATCCTGGAATTTAGAATCTGAATTGCATTAATTCTTCATATACATAATACTTGGATTTGAATCAGCTATTTTAATCATAATAAGTTAATTATAAAAAGTTAAATACATTAGCTGTACCATTAGTACAATTTATTAAATTAGATAATTAGATTAATACTTTATGCATACTTCCATATGTCAAACTACTCGATTTTAAAAGTAGAATTTAATGAAAATCAATATACATTTAGAGAAAGTATATACTTACATTTATTTCGAATATTTGAGTATTCTAATCCATCCCTCATTTAAATTTCGTCCTCGAAATTTCTTAGCTTAGTGATCATCAAACAATTGAGGAAACTTGAGGCGAATATCTTCTTCTCTTTCCCAAGTTGCCTCCTTTTCTGGCATGTATTTCCATTTCACTTTAACATAGGGAATTTGATGATTTCTGAGCTGTTTAGTATCAAAATCTAGTATTCTTTCAGGTTCTTCTGTATAAGTCAAATTCTTCTATAGCTCAATTTCATCATGTGAAATTCTCTGATGGGCATCTGTAACCCATTTCCTAAGCAGTGATACATGAAAAACGTTATGTATATCTGACATGTCAGCTGGAAGAGCAAGTCTATAAGCAACTTTTCCAATTCTTTCAACAAATTCAAAAGGTCTAATAAACCTAGGACTCAATTTGCCTCTCTTACCAAATCTAGCTATACCCTTCATAGGTTTAACCTTCAAAAATACGAAGTCACCAACTTCAAACTCTACTGCTCTGTGCTTGGGGTCATAATACTTTTGTTGGCAGTCCTGAGCAGTTTTTAATCTGTCTCTAATTAATCTGATTTTCTCTGTTGCTTCCTGCACCAGTTCTGGGCCCATTAATTGTTTTTCTCCTACCTCAACCCAAGTTAAGGGGGTTCTGCACTTCCTACCATAAAGTGGTTCATATGGTGCCATTTGTATACTGGATTGGTAACTGTTGTTGTAGGCAAATTCTATCAATGGTATGTGATCTTCCCAGCTGCCTTTGAAATCCAAAACACAATCTCAATAAATCCTCCAATACTTGAATGGTTCTTTCAGATTGACCATCAGTCTGAGGATGAAAAGTTGTACTAAAATGCAGATTTGTACCCAAGCTTTCATGAATGCTCTTCCATAGCCTCGAAGTAAATCGACCATCTCTATCTGAGATAATGACTTTTGGAATATCATGTAATATGATAATTTCTTTTACATATAGACGTGCCAATTTGTCTACCGAATCAGTTTGCTTGATAGGTAAAAAGTGAGCTGATTTTGTCAGTCTATCTATAATTACCCAAATACTGTCATGTCCTTGTCTGGATATGGGAAATCCCATGACAAAATCCATTGCAATTTCTTCCCACTTCCACTTGGGGATAGGTAGTGATTGCAATAATCCACTAGGTCTTTAATGTTCAGCTTTCACAATTTGGCATGCTTCACACTTAGCTACATAATCAGCAACATCTTTCTTCATACCCTGCCACCAAAATATTACTTTTTAAGTCTTTATACATCTTAGTACTGCCTGGGTGAATTGTGTAGCCAGAATGATGAGCTTCTTGCAAAATTTCTCTTCTCAATTCCAGCTCGTTGGGTACCTATAGGTGGGATCTGTGCTTAATGATTCCATCGACATCAACAGAAAGATCGGGTCTTTTCCCTGACTGGACCTGCTCTATTAATTTTGAAAATT